CAATGTTTACATTTAACGGATCCTTTGCGGAAGTGCTTCTGAACTTTTTAAACTGTTGGGATTTTTTATTTGTTATAAAGAATTGTTAAAGTTCTTAGTTACTTGATTTTTGTTTTCATTTTGATTAGTGCTTTCATTGGTTTATTTTTTGGTAAAAGTATATTTATGGGTACCCCCTCGCGAAAATTGGCGGTGCATGGATACCGAGTTTTGTGCAATTCTTTGACTTGTTATTTTGGGTTTGTGTACATAAAATTGCCCCTACACAAATCCAAAATAACTAGTCTAAGAATTGCACAAACTCAGTATCCATGTACACATTGAACTATTTTCACTTTAAAAAAAACATCACAGAATGCATAAAATTGGCATTGTGCTCTCCCTTTGTCCATGTATAAATGAATATATTTTCACTTAAAAAGTCAAAGGAGCACCCAATTCTAGGTAAAGGTATATTTACGGAACATTCAACTACTCAAGGTACCATAAATGAAACAACAACTTTGTGATAAACAAAACAACAACTTCGCGAGAAATGAAACAACTTTGTGATAATATAAGACGTACCCTTATACTCTAACCATTTTTCGACTATTTTGTCTACCCTAACCATTTTTCGAACTATTCTTATATGCGCCCTCAGGTCGCCAAATTTGTCGCCATCCACGGTACCATATTACTATCTAAATTTTTTGTCTACATTTCGAACTTTAAGCCTAAAATGTCTCCAAAAATGCGGCACGTTTTAAACACACAATTTAAGCTAAACATCCGAAACGAAACACAAATTAGATAGCAAAACATAAGTTCTAACCAAAAATATTGACAAGAATCCATGTGCACAGCGATTCTTTTACTGAAAAAAATCTATAATTCACATCTAGTACAGCAAAAGATCTACAAACTCTGCACCATCGCTTTAATAATTAACATAACAACAATAAATTTCAAGCATACCATGCACACAGCTCTATTAAATTAAAATAATCTACAAATTCACAACATATGCACGAAAGATCTATGAACACGCACACCTCGCTTTAATATTACATAACACAATAAATTTAAAGAATCATGTGCACCCATTCTGTTTAACTAAAAAACATCTACAATGCACAATCTAGCAATGTGCCAAATCACAAATAACTAAAAAACGAATAAAATACAACAATTCAAAACAACCATTCAAATAAAATACAATGAACATAACATTTACAAATAAAATTCCTACCATATACATACTACATAAATTTCGCCAGTCCACAGTGTCTGTCAACAAAAGTGCACAATTTTTGCTATATCACATGTCTTTCTGTATTCAAATTTTGAAAGAATATAAAACTCCTCCAAAGTTAACTTCTACAACTACACGAAACTACAATTCAACTCTTAAACTCCGCCTACACCGTATACTTTGCGCAACCATTTGACTGCAAACCCACAAGTCCTCAGAAACACCATTCTCGTCTGACTTCCAATCAGCTCCACATTCGGACACACCAAATCCTGTTTAAAGTCCTGACTCCCACGCGAAATTCCAAAAATGTCTATCTCAAAACACAGACCCGTGAAAAAAGACCGTAACAACTCCAACATCGTACCTTTTATTGCTAAATTTACTTTTCACACAATCTAAAATTTGCAACTAAAATCTTGCCACCACGTCTCTAAGTTTCAACGTCAAAAGGGTTTCCATACAAAAAGCATTGTCCACCAAACCATCCCACAGCATGAAATCGCGCCAAAAACCAGCGCAGAACACATATCGCCACATTTGGTGATCTTAGAGTGCATATAAGAGTAGAGCCCCATTTTTTTTTCTGTTGAGATATCTGATATATCTGAATTTTAATTTTATTTAAATTTTGGAATCCTTTTCTTTTCATTGAAAAATGTATCAGTACCTGTTATATATAGGGTTGCCATATGTCCCATATAGTATACGAGACTGTCATCGTAATTCATCGCACAGTCTCATATTATTATTTGTCCCGTTTTTCTTCTTACCTTCTGCCTGAAACAGCTGGTATGCAGCAGCAATGTTGACTGTTGAAATTGATTGAGCCCTGTATTGAAATTATATATTGGCAACATAGATTCTGTTCAATTAAAAATTCTGTAATCTAAAAATAAATTCCATACATCTAAAAAATTATTTAGATAAAAGTAAAACCAACCAAAACTGCATAGCAACTCCGAAATTAAGTATGGAAGAGAAATTTTTTTGCAGATACAAAGTATACTGAATGGAAATAGTGTCTAATAAAGCTATTTGAGTTTAATCCTAGTATACAGTTTGCCGACTTTTGGCAATTGTATGATGAGCAGTAAACGAGTCATTTTGGTGATGGTGACAAATTTCAAAATCGCACCAAGTCCGTACCATATACTAGGAGTTTATCACTGTGAATATGTATTTTCCATTCAGCTCACAGTGCAAGTGTGGTTCCTCAAACAAATCAGCGGAGATGACTCAAGCAGTTTCGGTTTCTTATTATGATTTTGAAATGACTTGCACTCAGTTTTATAGTTATAGGATAGAAGAAAAGGATATAGAGGAAGTAAAATCAACTTTTTTATTATTTTAAGTGTTCATTTTATTATATTAAAATCTATTGATTTTTTATCAAAATAAAATTAAACATCAGGCTAGAGTAGAGAGAAGGATACCCCTTGTATTATCGCAGGGTTGTTATTTCATTCATCGCCAAGTGGTGGTTTATTTATGGTAACCTAAGTAGTTGAATGTTATAGAAACTCTATTATGGCACAATTGGTTGCATGACTGCAGTCAATTTGAGTCATGGGAAAGATATGGAAAGTGTACATCGGATTTTTGATAAGTACATTGTTATTTTGTGGTTTTACATGGTAAAATGGCTGAATGGGGTAAGATTAATTTGAAGTTTCTGTGTGGTTTGGAACGAAAGGGAAAAAAGCATTAATTGACTGGTGTGTAAATGAATGTTTACTTAGTAGCCATTATTAAGTGTCCTGTTTGAAGAAAGCAAATGCGTATGGTCGAACATCGGATATTTTCGACTCTTATTTTTGTGAATTTATGTGGCGAGAGCAGTGTACAGATTCTAGTTCAGATAATTTTAAGAAGCATTTGGATGCTGTTAAGGAATTTTGTTTGATTGAAGACGCGTAAATTCGTAAATAAGGTAGGTGGATATTTCCTTCATTTAGTGCTAAGATAAATTTGCTTTTTTATGTTATTTCATTGTTTGATTTAAAATGTAGTTTATTGAGATTATATATTTTTTTGTTGGCTGCTCCTTTGACTTTTTAAATGAAAATAGGTCGATGTGTGCATGGATAAAGTCAAGGGAGTGCACAATGCCAAGTTCGTGTGCAATTCTGTGATTCTTTTTAGTGAAACTAGGTTGATGTGTGCATGTGTTTGTGCAGTTCTTTGTCTTGTTATTTTGGCTTTGTGTAGCGGCAATTTTTGTGAAAAATCTGCACTACACAAGCCAAAAATCACCAAATTTCACCAAGAGGTACCTGTAAATGTACTTTTACGAAACATTATTACCTTCCCACTTTTTTAATTTATCCCCTAAATGTCCAGTATCTATGCTTGGCAATTATGGCAACTGTATTTAAATGTAGCATAATTGGCTGATTAGATTTGAACTTACTCCAGACAGCATTAGATGATTCAATAATTAAATATTCGGAAATTGCTGAACTCTTTCCATTTTCTGCATTCGATTGTTATTGCATGTATTGTAAGTAGGATTTTAAATTTACGTTTGTTTCTTTACAAGAGCACCATTGATAGTAAGTTAAAGGGATTATTGCAAATGTAGAATGGATCAAAGGTACTATGATCTGGTTCCTAAGAATAAGTGCTGTGTTTCATGCTAATTTTCAGATAATATAAGATGAATATAAGTTTTGGATGGTGCAATATCAGGAGCTGTAACTTTTATCTATTAAGTTAAAAAGCTATGAAAGTAAGTCAAGTGAGAACCATTTTTCTTTCAGAGTTAAAATAATTTTGCTTGGCTTTCAGTCAGAAATATTAATAGTGTTTTCAATAAAGGAACTCATTTGCATAAATTACTTGATACTGAATTTCTTGGTCATGAACTTAGATCAGAAATCTATTGTGACGCTGGTGAAAATGTCCAGAGAAGTAGATAACTGACTGAGGGAATGCTATATGCATACTTGGGTTGCCACATTACTTTTATTACTTTGGCTGTGTGGCGGTTATACTTTTGGCAACATGATGCACTGCCTCATCAATATTTTTCCATATGAGTAAATCAAAGTGCTAAAATTTTAAACAAATTTGCAAAATTCATTTATTTGACATTTTAAAATTAAAATATTAAAAATATTATAAATTAAATTTTATTGAAAATATAATGGAATGAAAAATAAATCTGTGTTAAAGAAAGCAAAATGGAATGATGCTCAGATTTGGCACATGACACTTTGCATACCATTATATCATTTACTTATTATAAAATGGTGTGCAAATTATAATAGTTTATAATTCAAAATTGTTTTTGGAAAATTTATAAAAATTCTCTAAAAATATAAAATTTAAATAAATTGCAAAAGTAGAAATTAAGTTTAGGTTTAATTAAAAAACTAGTATTATTAAATACTATATTTGACGGCATATAAGATACACCCTTATTTAGAAGGCCACACACAAGGGAAAAAAGTTTCAATAGTCTGCGCGACAGCCGGTATCACAATACTTAAATGTGGTTTTTTAGTTCTCACGTTTCGTAAAAGCCAAATAAACAATCATTCAAGCAATTACCAATCATATTTTATTAAGGAAAAATTAACAAACAGCAAGCTATTTTGAACCATAGAAATTTAGTAAGACTAAATAAAGACAGCAAAGCAATAAACATAATACAAAATAAAGCAGAAACAACAAAAAAACACAGATTCAAGGAAACGTGCCTAATGAAATTAGACTTAATCACTTTTAAAACATAAAAATCCTTTCACTAATCTCATCTCGAAAACGAGAATATCGTCATCACTACTGTTCCGTCAGATAGTATACCTTCTTCGATAATGCATCTTCTCTGCTGTCAAGAGCATTACTCATTCCGCACTTTTAAAGGACTTACTTACGTTCTCCCAAGATCTTTTTACCCACTAGCACACTTGTGAAATAGAGGCCGCTTCATTCTACCTGAGGGTGTGAGGGGTGATGGGCTCCTATCCACTTGTTCCCGCGTTCTCCACACTTTTTCTTAATGGTTTATCAGGATACATCAAAGGCTGCAATTGGCTGTCAGTCACCAGGAAGACAGTATTGGGTTTTATTATCTCGCTTTACTCTTATGGTTTCAGTTTTAATGGGCGCTAACTGATCCAAAACCAAAAGAGAGGTTTCTTAGAGTCACCAGGCGCCTCGCCCATACGTTCTATAATCACAGTTTCATTCCAGCTCGTCCATCCAGCCTTTCGGGAACATGAACAATTACACCCATTGGAAGTTTTTTTTGAATATGAAAGGCAGTAGTTGTGTGCCATCAGCACAACATGTTAGAACTTCATATATCGGGTTTTTTCATGACCTGTGGTTTATATGGTTATGATTAGACCCTTTAATACTCACAATCTTGTGGATGATACGTCAAATGTGAGTGGAATTTCACCATATTTCCTATTTGACCAAGCTCAAAAGAATTTTCTTGCATGCATTTATAACAAACCTATGAAATGCTAGTATTTTTTCTCATAATCTGCTGGCATTTTGTGCAATAGTTGTTTGTGCGCATGGATAAGCTTGCCTTTTCATGAACCTGTAGCACCAGCCCTCAGACCCTGAAAGTTCGGATTCCCATTTTTTCTGCAAAACCTTTGGCTTATTGATTATCATTTTGGTTAAAACTTATCCCAGATTTCTTTATCTATCACCCACATTTTATGGCATTTCAAGTTCAGGCCAAGATGGAGTGGGTCAAAGGTTATGTTTTTGTTTTTTAGCAGTTTTCAGATTCTTCCGCGTTGATAAGTACGTATCATTTTGGTAGGTAGGTGGTGGACCGAATGTCTTGCTGTGCTCTGTTTCTATGACTTTGGCGTAGTTTAACACTCCTAGTTATACTGAATTGTAAGCTTACTTTGTTTCCTGTAGTCATATTTTCAGGTATTTTTTAAACAAATAGTTTTAAGCACCGATAAGAACGTTTATACAGAGTAGCCCGATACGACACATTGTCGGCTGAGTCAAAGAAAGTCTATATAAAGGGATAGGCTCCATAGACATAACGGACCGTCGAACCGTTCGAACTTGGACATCAGCTTCGAGCTTTGGCCCTTTTGCGATAGATATTTCAGATGCCAAATAATTATGGCAGATGTAGAAAAAGTTATGTTTGTCTAGATCTTTATTCAAGCTAAAAATAGCATTCAGTATTGAAAGTTAACCTGTGTCCTTCACGTATAAGACGCAGGTAACTTTTTTGAGACCAAATTTAGGAAAAAAAGTCCGTCTTATATGCCGTCAAATACGGTAGATACAAAATTTCAGTAACATTGTGGAGCTAAAATTTGAGTGCTGATTTTGAAAACTCCTGGTGCAGTTTTTATAAAACTTGGCAGAATTGTATGTCTTAGACATAGAAATGGACTATGGAAAAAATAGGCATGTCATTTGAGGAAAAAAATCTGATTGATTTCATTTCTGCACTTTCCACGCAATGTGTGTTTGCCATCCGTAAACTATTAGACTTATAAATTGTTTACAGTTAAAAAACAAACCCTCTAAAATGCACGGCAGGTGCATAAGGAAAAAGTACCAATGAATTTTGTGCAAAGATGCATATGTTAGAGCAGAGTTATATCTAAATTTAATACATGTTTTTTTTTTTTTTTTCACTTTAATGTGTTCCGCCCTTAGGCACTACACGGAAAGGGAGGGATGCCCTGTGGAGGTCTTTTTAAGGGAAACTGGCTTGTAGCTATGTTACACATGGGGAAAGCCAGCTCGTTCACCAGGATTCGAACCCTGAACCGAATTACCAGTGTTCAGAGGTTTTTTAATACATGTGTTAAGTTATGCTTTTGAGACATTATTAATACAAGTTAAATTTATTCAGTCAGGAAATGTAGAACTGTCCACTTCTTATGTGTTATGTTTGTATTATGTTCCTGCTTATGTGTTTCATCAAAACACATAAGGTGGAACACATAATATTTATTGCATCTCTGTAGCAAAGCTAGCCCAAACCCTTGAAAATAGAAGTATTAAATCAAATCAAACTATTTTGAGTCTGGCAAGCAAAATAAGCAGTATGTAGTAATATTTATAGAAACTTTGCAAAGATAACACTTGACTTAACTTTAACTAGAAAATATTGATTGGATATCTGTTATAGCAGTGTCCTAAAAATGGAGCCTGCATTTGTATTGAAATGCTGTTATTTTCATTTAGCAGATTTCATTTAGCACAAATTAAGCAGAGATTTGCATTTTCTCTGTGAATATATCCTTACTTTTATTTTATAATATTTATCATATATCCCGGTGTGTAACGTACACTTTTAATACAAAAAATAAGATAAAAATTTACAGGTGGACATTATATGCTGGCTATAAAAATGATAGATTAAAAAATAAGGAAAAGACAAGCATACAAAAATTAAATTTTCATATTTACCTAAATGCTGCTTGTTTAAAAGAAATGACATTCCTTATGAACTTAAAATTTCTATTATCAGATAGCATTAAAAGTTCATAGCATTAATCTTTTGTTATATCTTCAGGCACATCATCGAATTCTATTTCGTCTTCACTATTACTGTTATTCTGATCCATAAATAAATAATCGTTTTCCGTTCCATCTAGATTGTTAGATATACTACACTTTTTAAATGACTTTTGAATATAATTTCATTCCATGTATATATTATCCATTAACACACTATTTCTAGACTGGCATGACACATTTTTCCTGCTTTGTAAATGTTTTGCACCTCCTAACATCTACATATTCCACTGTTGTTTTAAGTATTCTTTGAATGCATTATTGATACACACATGTAAAGGCTGAACTAATGGTATTAATTTGCCTGGAATAACTGTGTGTATTTCTCTTTTAACACTTTCTTTCTATTATCCGTTAAATGGGATATGGATGTGTCCCAAACTTAACACTAGAATGGCGGGAAAATCTTACCTACTGGAACAGCGGTAAGGGGTCATTTTAACCTTTCGATGAAAGTATTGAAATAACAATGGTAAAAAAATTTTAAATGCTGTACATTGGCACAAATATATACTTTATATTTAAAATCACATGATAATTTATTAACTTTTTAAAATACTGTAAATGTATCAAGAACATGGCGATCAATTGGATAATACTACAATTACTCAAATAACTCGTTAATTTGATATAAAAATTTATTTCAAATAAATGGTTTCACAAATTAAAACTAATGTTAACTAAAATAAAATGCAATTTATATAACAATATTTTTTTATGTACTTACTCGGAGGATGATTCACTCTCTAAATCCAGAAATGAGAAATGTTCCCTATGTTTCAGTTATATCATTTATGTGTAGCTGAATAAAATATGTAAGATCGTTTCAATTATTTAATGTTTAAAATATTAGAGATTACACATATATAAGAATTAATGCCTTAATATGTTAATTATTAATATGTTGTGTAATCTAATATTTTAAACATTAAATAGAATTGAAATGAAACTTTACATATTTTATTCTAATACAGTCAAAAGTCGTTAATCCGACTCGTGGACTTTCGGCGATTCCGTTATCGATTTTTCTAAATATCGATCATCAGGTTAAATCTCGTAAGATGGCCTGCAGAAATTCTAAATTAAAATATGAAACGTAATTTATGAATAAAGAACAATTATGATCTAAAGGGTATCAAAATTTACAAAAAGCTTAATATTTATTAGTTTACTTTATTAAACATTTTTTCAATGTAAGTGTTTAAGTTGCTTCATTTTATGTGATAATACTTTCTCTGAATTCTATAAACAGATAATTTCTTGTTCAGTTACAAGTTCCGCGTTCAAGTCCCTTAATTGCTGTGCCGAGATACGATAACTTGTCAATCGAATTTTTTGTTTTCATTAACCTCTTGTCACATTTTCAGTCTTTATCCATTTTTTGCAACAATTCCACTTTTTGTTTGACATCGAAACATACTTTCGTTTGAACAATCCTTTGGGAGCTCCAGAATCGGAAATTCTATTTGACATAATCGAAAGTTCAAGTTTACTTTTATAAATTGCCTTACAGTCTGCAAAAAATAATAAGCCGAATCAATTCGAAGATTAATGAACAAGCAATCACAACATTAACTGAAATAGATAATAGATTAATTTTAGCTTATACCGTTGTTATACATAAAACGCGCACGTGAAAACGTATTCTGTGCTTGTGCACACGCATATGCGCAGTCGTAAAAGGTCGTACGCGCACGCGTAAACACCTATGCGCATGTGTCAACGCGGCGCATGCGCCGAAAGTTTTTAGCTTTGAGGTTCGGATTATAGGGTTTTTTAGTATCAACATCAACAGATAACCAAAATTTTATTCAAAATTTGTCAGGTTTATCAGGCATATATTGTTTGAGTCTATACCTAGCTTCAGATGGGAATAAAGGTTCATGAAATGTAATATTTAGTCCTAGCACGTTTTGCGGTTTTCAATAAATTTGTCTTGCACATGTCTGATGCAAGAGTAAATTTATCAGTCTGTAATCGAGTAGATCTTGTTGTCTTTTCATTGAACCTTAAAAAATCGTTTTATTTCTTTGAATCTATCTCTTGATATAGTTTCTTTGCAGAATGGTATTCCCTGTGCTTCAGACTACAAGGAATATAAATCTAAGCACTTTGCTCCTATTATTCCTCGAACATACAATATAGCGACAAAAGCATCTAACTCAGCCAGAGGTAACTTCCAGTCTTTATTTCCAAGTTGCTGATGAGCTTCGGATTCTGTACATTTCTTTATATGCAGCAAGATATCATCTTCAATAAAAAGCTTGGAAGAAAATCTGTGTAGAAAATCCTCATTTAATGTGTTTAGAATGGTAATTTTTTTTGGGGGGGGCAAAGATTGTGAGAAGATTAATAATTAATTTGCAATAATATGAAGCTACTCAGTACTCACTGAAGATTAATATTCACTGGCTTCATATCATTGCAAATTAATTGTTAGAAGACTTCAGATTATTAGTATTATGTTTTGATGCTTAGCATGTCAGATTTTTCCATGTACTTTCGGATTATCCACATCCTTAATGTCAACATTGTGTAGAACTTCTGTATTATTAGCATATTTTCAAGTATGCATACAACAGTAACATATCTGTATGTACTTGTACCATACAGGTATTTGAATAACTTATCTGTCTCACTGAATCGTTCGGCAAAAGACCCAAGAAGAAAAGAAAGAGATTTTGAGGGCCATAATTGAATACAGTCCAAAGTCGTTAATTCGGACACCCATAATCCGGAATGATCTATAATCCGGACCTCTAAGCTACAAACTTTCTTGCGTCGCGTTGACGCATGCGCGTAAGACCTTTACGGCTGCGAATTTGCGTGTGCGCGTGAGCAAAATACGCTTACGAATGCGCGTTTAATGTATAACGGACTGTATAAGCTAAGCTCAAATTATCTATTTCAGTTAATGTTGCAGATTGCGTTGTTCCTTAATCTTCGAATTGGATCGGCTTATTATTTTTTGCAACTGTTAGAGCAATTTTATAAAGTAAGCTTGAACTTTCGATTGTAAATAGAATTTTCCGATTTTATTACTAATATGTAACGGATCTACAAGCGAAAGTATTTTGGAGTCCATTAACAAAAGTGGAATTGCTGCAAAAATGGATAAGCATATCTTTGTTTATCTAAACTTACGTTGTTATCCTTAACGGCCGCGGCGGCGCAATGCATGGAGTGATCTGTCAGCACTATCCTCTCTCAGGGCAGAGTTTTTTTTATTTGGCTTATAATGTTCAATTAGTATTTTCAGTTGATCAGTCCGTTTTATAATGATTTAAATCAATGCCTCGTCATTATATTCGCTTCCGATGCGAAGAAGTGAAGTTATTGGAAACGAAAAATTTCGATTGACGATAGTCGTATTCTCGACACAGCAATTAGGACGTGACATCGGAACTTTGTAACTGAACAAGATTATGTTTTTAGAATTAATAGAATGTATTATCATAAAAAAAACAACTAAACACTTACATGAAAGAAATGTTAAAGTAAACAAATTATTAAGTTTTTTTTTTTTTGTAAATTTTGATACCATTGATCCTATTGTTCTTTATTTCGTAAATTACGGTTTCATATTTTTAATTTTATAATTTCTTCATGCCAATTTACCAGATGTAAACTGATGATCTATAATCCGGAAAAATCGATAATCCGGAATCGCCGGATTAACGACTTTTGACTGTAGTATGTCCTGATTGTATGTATGTAAATATTGACCATAAAAATTATTACTTCCCCTCATAAAATTTGTTTCATTATCAGGCAAGTGAGATTGTTAACAACAATAAAAACTTTGTTTCACATGAAATGCTTTTTACTTTTTATTTACTTGTAGTATTATTTATACCTGTGAACCATAAAGATTTTGGTATTTCATATGTTTTTTCCTCCCAGATGGAATTCCAAGCTATAATTATGGCTGCTGGCACTGGCTCAAGGATGAGGGAAATAACATCAGCTCATCCAAAGTGCTTACTGCCTATTGGAAATATTCCACTGATCCTTTGCTCTCTAAATGTTTTAAAAAGAACTGGTTTCTCTGAAGTAATTGTGTTAATCCGAGAAAATGAGAAAGCTAAAATCCAGAATGCCATTGAAGGTAAATTAGATATAAAATTAGATATTGTGACCATACCTAAAAATGAAGATTGGGGTACTGCTGATAGTTTGCGTCACATAAAAGATAAAATCAAACAAGATGTATTAGTGATAAGTTGCGACATTGTGACAAACTTCAATATTCAAAATATATTAATGTTACACAGAAGCCAAGGTTCATCTTTAACAGTACTACTTGTGCCTTTTCCTAAAGCTTTAAGAGAAATTGATATGCCAGGCTCTAAAAAGAAATGTAAATTTGAACGAGATATCATTGGCATCGATTCCAGTGGAAGACTTACATTTCTCAATTCAGAAGCAGATTTTGAAGAAGGTGTGCCACTTAAGCTAAGCACTTTAAAACAGAATTCATTAGTTACTGTTTATAGCAACCTCATGGATACTCATTTGTATGTAATAAAAAAAGATTTAATTAGCTTCATTGTAAATAATGAGCACTTATCAACACTTAAAGGTGAATTTTTACCAGCTGCTGTTAAAAAGCAATTTACATTTAGAAGACAAAGCCAGAAAACAGAACCTGTTGATGCATCTTTAGGATCATCTATTTTAAATAAAGACTGGATTGATTTAAAGCAACTTGCCTTAGATATGTCTTCATGGAAAGACCCTTCTATTTATTTAAGACCAGCCATAGAAGAGGAGCTTAAATGTTTTGCTTATGTTGAAAAAGAATCATTTTGTTCTCGAGTTAATAATCTAGTGGCATATATTGACACCAACAGAAAAATTTCAAAACACTTTTCTGTTGTCACTGGGATGCAACCAAAATTAAATCAGTATCAAAAATCGCAGGTTGATGCAGACAGCATAATAGGAGATAATTGCGAATTGCAAGCAAAATCTACGGTTAAACAATCTGTAATTGGTAATAACTGCAAATTAAGCGAAAAAGCCAAAGTTTCTAATTCTGTAGTTATGGATAATGTTCAGTTTGGTAAAGATTGCATAATTCAAGGAAGTATTATATGTTCTAATGTAAAAGTAGAAGATGGCTGCAGTTTAAAAAACTGCATCGTTGGCCCTGATCAAATCATTAAAGAATCATCTAAACTAAACAGTGAAAGCTTACAAGGTTCTGATCAACTCATGGAAATATAAAATTTTGAACAAATGGTTTTCGCATTTTATAAAAATTTATTATTATGAATAAATTTTATTACTATAAAAGTTATGTTTGGTGTTTTATAATTTTATTTATTTACAATATTTTAAGTAGAATGCAGCTCAGAGTTTAACACTATGCAGTTTGCTTGATTTTATTTTGACTTAATAACATGTTTATTTTTTAACTTTTAGGTTTGATATAAAACCTGTAAGTTAATGTTTGTAGAGGATAACAGTTTTAATTTGCATGAAAATGTCTTTTGCATATTTCCTTGGATCAAATACAGATATTTTAAAAAAAAAAAAAAAATAGTATTCATTATTTTTGAATTCAGCTTTAAATTGACTGTTTTTATTTGTTTAGCGGTAATCATATTGACTTTTTGAATAACATTAAATTGCATGTACCATTGCCCGAGAACAAAATTATCTGTTTAGGACAGAATATCATATAAAACACAATATCTTATCTTTATTGATAGAAATTGTAAAACAGTATTTATATCAGGGCTGTTTCTTCTGGAAGAAACATGTTTTTCTATGACAAAAAACTACAGGAAAAAAAAAAAATGGGGTGGGGGGGGAATAAATTTACTACTAGCAGTTTACCTTATTTGAAGAAAAATATTTTATTATTTCTGTTATAAAATTCAAAGCAATTAAATATTTTTTCTAAAAACGTCCAATTAAAAGTGTAGTAGAATTTTTATTCATTTTGTATAAAATTTTTTAACTACTACAATGCTGAATTCTAGCTCCCCGAAGTCAGCCACTTATCACCCTGTATTAGAATTTCAGTGTCAATTCATGAGACATTAACTCAGAAGTTTTTTTTTTTTTTTTACTTTTTATTTCAAGCTTCAGGCTAATAAATTTACACAGTTTGTGTAGTACAGAAAAAGTAACTGCTTCTTGTAGTATTAACAGAACACGAATGTTAACATGAACTTAAACCAATTTAGAAGTTGGGTGAAATAGTACTAGTTAGTTAGTGGAGATGGTTAGTGGTTGTTACCAAAAGATCTCTGCTAAAATCTCGAACACTATTCTTGTATACATTACTAATGTACATCCTGGTGAAAGCCAGTGAATGCAGAAGTGATAGTACAAGGAAAACAATAAATGAATATAAAACTCTACAGTCACCCTCATCAAAATTTAAATAGTTCAAAAATGAAGGTTTTAATGACCTTGATAGAGAATTTTACAAACTAAGACTGGGTCAAAACTTTTACAAAGTCTTAGAACTAGACTTATACTTGACAACTTCATCTTTAATTAAAGGGGGCTACAGACCATTTCTCTTCCTTCCAGATTCCCAGGAGGAAAAATATTTTAGTGTAACATATAATACATATAGACAGAGATTAATTTATTTTAAAAACTTTAATACGTCTTAAATCTTCTACCTCTTACCCAAATTTTTTTCACTTGACACATTGGACTTCAAAGTCTAAGTTAATATCTGCATTTGAACTTGATTTATTATCAAAGTGTTACTGGACAGCCTGCCTGTAACCCTTCCATATGTATTTTTTTAATGATACATTTAATTCCTAATGCATTTTTATTAACTCCTAGTACGTTTTCAGTCTACTTTCAATTTTCACCAAGTTTTCATAACATGTACAGTACAATGTCCGTAATCCGGACTCATCGGGACTTCCGCGATTCCGGATTATAGATCATCAGTTAAAATCTGGTAAGATAGCATGCAGAAATTATACAATTAAAATATGAAACCGTAGTTTATGAAATAAAGAGCAATTATGATCTAAAGGGTATCAAAATTTACAAAAAAAAAAAAAAGAAAGAAAGAAAGAAAAAGAAAAAAAACTGAAGACTTTATTTGCTTTAGTAAACATTTCTTTCAATGTAAGTAATTTAAGTTGCTTCGTTTTTTGTGCTAATACTTTCTCTTTAATTCTATAAACATAATTTCTTGTTCAGTTACAAAGTTCCTTTGTTCAAGGCGTGTAATTGCTGTGTCGAGAATACCGACTAACTTGTCAATCGAAATTTTTTCGTATTCAATAACGTTGTCTGTTACTTTTTTCACTATCAGAAGCGCGCATGGGTAAACGCTTTTGTGGCCAGACACACAAAAAGATAAAATGCATTATAGCATGTAAATAAAAAGCATTCCAGCTACTATTTAGAATTCAAAAATACTTGGAAGTTTAACATATTAGCAAGTTTGAGTACATGCATTAACATTAGACAGTTTTTCACTTGAATAGAAATAAATGAATTTGCAATTATCTTTTGTTTGTAGAAACTGTAATTCCGATTCTGAAGTGAGTCATTCGCCTGGCTAGAAACTTGTCCAAGACTAACCACTGTAACTTGTTAATCTGTGTTTTGGCTATTAAGTCTGACTCACTGTCGTCAGTGGGACTTCTCCTCGTTCCCTTTTGCTCACACAAGCTCTTGGATTGACACCCTATGGACAGTGGCATAGATAGGGGAGGGCAATGGGGAACATCTGTCCCCAAGCACAGCATTGTATTTCCCTTCCCCACTGCATTTTGGCAAACACGAGTAGGCATGAAATCATCAGTTATCCCCAGGTGCAGAAAACCCTAGCTATGCCTCTGCCTGCAAATTCCAGCTGTCTGCTTCTTCTCTGGGAAATTGGCTAAGGATTTTGACTAAGTTTTGCATTTTGCTTTCTCACGGGGTATACAGGGCAGTATGAGGCCCACCAATAGTTGAACCATTTTGTGTTATCAGACCTCATATTGCTGCTATCCATGCTTTTGTGTGCCCCTGCACACTTCATACAATGAGGATTTTTGCTCTTCAATTGTCTGAAGGATGGTGAAAAACTGACAGTTGTGGTACTAAGCCATACAATTTTCTCAAGTATGAAGGATGATGTAATATAAAATATTTCTTCAGCTGCACTACAGCCTATGAGAGGCCAAGGCTGTCTCAACAAGCTTCCTTTAACAGATCCAATTAGTCGCTACTGTCCACCAACCATTGATTTTTAGAGTTCTGAGATCTGCCTTCACATAGTCTATCCACCTTGTGCGAGGTCTTCCTCTTTTCCTGGTATCCTCTACATCTGCAAATATCACCTTTTTAACAGGGTTCAAGATGTCATATTTAAAAATATGTCCAAGCCACCTGATAATGATAAAATTTGATGACTCGGAAAATATTATGTTGTTTGCATTTTCCATATGTATTTCATGGTTAAACAAAATTTTCCATCTATTATTTTTTCTATTTGGGCCATATATTTTTCGCAGTATTTTCGTTTAAAAAATTAGAAATCTTTCTTCATCTGTTTTTGTTAATGGCCAACATTCACTACCATACAATATGATAGGTCTAATAAGGGCTGTCTAGAGATTTATTTTTGTTTTTGATGTTTAATAATTTAAATGTTAAAAAATTCTTTAAACCATGATAACATCTATTAGCTCTAAATAATCTATTGTCAATTTTAAATTTAATATTATTATCGTTATATAAAATATTTACTGTCGCATATAATATTATACAGCAGTAATATATAGCAGTTTGGATTCCAATAAAAATACATAACATGCCCAGGCAAGGAATTCAGCACTTAAGGAACTCTGCTTCATTTGAATTAACTGAATTTGTTCTCACAAAAATTTAAATTTTTCATAATCTGGATTATTTTCTTAAGTGCTGTACTTACATCTTACATTTTAAGTACAGTTTCTTAAGTACATTTCATCATTTTGATATTTTATCTAATTTTAAACTGTGGTCATTATGATCATCAGAAACAGAAAAAAAAAAAAAAAAAAAAAAAAAAAAAAAAACTTCTATATTTAAATCTTCCAATATTTTTAACCCTCCGAGTGTTACGAGTTTAACCCTGAAATTTCAAAGTTCCTCAAAATGTCATGAATAAATAGTAATTTCATAATTTTAATTAAAAATTGACTCTCTAATTTTGTACCTTGATTCCTTTTCTTCCAATATACATCCAAACCGAAATCAGATACACTAAAAGCTAGGAGAAATTTTCATGTATAATGAATATGTCCATAGGGTGTCCATGTCAGCCTTCTATATGGAATTTTCTGGCCGTAATGCTCAAAGGGTTAAAGATATAAGCTATTTTGGACTGTTTACAAATTCTAATTTCAATAACCAAAATATCTTCTGTTATGAGCATCGAGAAAGAGGATCCTTTTTTTTTTTTCCCGCCGCAAAACTATTTCTTAGGTTCTCGAAGTCAATAATAACATTATTCTTTTTCCACTATTCAAACTGTTTATCACAACTTGCATTAATTTCAGCTTCTCTTTCTTCTGTTGTTTTCCTGTTTGTGAGAAGCTTCTTTGATAGATTGGTTGGTTTTGGTCGTTGGATAAGCTTCTTGTTTTTTAGAGTTGGGGTAAGTTCTTGGAACTACTAACAGTATTCAGTATCATCACGAACACATTTAGAATAAATTCATCCTCAAAATGTTTAATGCACACATTACTGTATATCCCAGGTACAAAATCTTTTCAATTAATATTTTTTACCCATTTCGGAGAAGTACAGGTCCTAAGGAAATTTAAAAGTGGATACACGTTCATTAGTGCCATCATAATTTGATTTTGGCATTTAGGTACAATACACTTTTTCAGCATTCTAAAGCATACTTTTTCTAATAAATTCAATAATATTTTGCCTTTTGGTAAAGGATAAAAAATAGAAGTGAACAAATATCTCTTCAGCACTAGTATTACTGTAAAGCAAGCTTCTGCCACAGAAAATATGTATATATACATATTCTTTGGCTCTACTAACAAAATTATCACCTTAACACTGCGACATCAGTTGGAGCAGGCATGTAGATATCTGGTTGGCTTTGCCATAATTTCCCGATGCTTAGTTTTCTGAAATTTTTTTAGCATGCTGTCACTGCAAATTTAACTCCTCCAGCCAGTTGGCCCCTGCCCGAATGGAGAAATACACTCTGCTAGCATCTGAAATGGTTAACTACCTCATGGAATATCACTTGAAATTTTGTCTGAACAGTCCCATGTGTTATATGTTTTCTTTATTTTTAGCTTTAAACAGCAGTTTGTT